CAAGGCAATATCTTGAAGATATAAGACTTTATGTGTTATTCCACCTTAATATTCTATCGTTTTTCAATGGATATCAATATATTTCTTTAGTTATACAATGTTTATTTTTACGCAAATAACACCTCATTAAATTTAAGGTTTCTTCAAAAGGAAATTATGATTTCAACTCTACTTTGTGACCTAGTAACCTAAAACGCATATATATATACAAATTCAAAGATTGCTGTCAGTCATTTACATTACGGTAAGTCCCTTGCGAATTGAGCATAAAAAAATCATGTTTCTTTTTTCAGCTTTAAATAAACTCTAGTCCACTATTGAAGAGTTTCTAAATATATAATGGTTTTTTGTATTGTTACAAGTGAGAGCGTATATACCTCATAACTTTTAGTTGCAACAATTGACGTGAAATTTCAAAATAAGAAAAAAAACATCATAGTTACACTAATGTATAAATAATACTATACAATCTCTGTAATCAATCACTTAGATAAAAAAAGGGGACATAGCGATAGAATCAACAAAACTTGCCGCATAAAGCAACAAACTGTTTGAGAGTTTACACCAAATGGAAACAACTTCTAACCATTAAAAAAAAGCTACAATAAAATAAAAATCACTAGCGTATTGAAGTTAAAATAACATACTGATTAATACTTTATTGTTGATTAGGGTGCGATAGTTTACATTAAATAGAGTACGATCACGTTAAGTCGTTTAACCTAGATACTGAATGCTAATATGACTAATTGAATCCAACCATCATAAAGGATTAAATATGCATTACATTTCGTAGTCGACATTATGGATTAGTTTTAGTAAAAAGAGCAAACAGATCGACGGAATTTTTTTTCTATTGGTCCTTCATCATGGCTCTACACTAATATATATATATATATATATATATATATATATATATATATATATATATATGCTAGTTATGTAAGAATTAATAGACAAATGTTGAATATGTGTAAAAATACAAAAGTGGATAAAATCATAAAATTGTGTATTTTTGGTAGCAAACGGTTTAATCAAAATTCAGCTAAAAACGACTCCTCTACCAATCGCATAAGTAAAGTTTGGAAACATAAATTCTGTTAGATTCCATCATGTGCAATAGACAAACTTGTAAACCATGAGCTAAATTTTTTGGAATATGGTGGATAAACTTAAAAGCTTTATTCAAGTCAGCTTGATAGCCTGTGTCCACAAAGTAAGCGAGAATAGGACTTTTATTAACTCTTACCTATCGTTTACTTAACCAAGACGGACTTGCCGAAATGTAGGCTATATATAACTGGCTCCAGAGAAACAGTTAAATTGATAAATACATGTGGCTGTGGAAAAATCAGTCTTTATTAATGTTTTTATTATTGAGCGATTGTAGAAAAACTAATTCAATCCAGCTGCAGTAAATGTTTTTTACACCACCATTCTTAACCTTGGAGCTAAAAATTTTTTTCCGTAGCATCATTTAAGAATTGTAATTTCAAGAACAGTACCTTCTTTGAAACAGTAGATACATTTGAACTTCTTTTCATCTCATTCATGTGTTTGTTAGTAAATTTCATTAGATATCCATTCCTATTAAGCAGGTTACGAACACTATGCAATTCATCTACATCTGTGTTATCAGAAAAAGTCATTTCAACTATATGAGTCCAGATCTTTACTATGTTTCTTTTATATCTGATTAGTAAAACACTATAGAAATGTGTATATTGCCCAACTGTAGGCTTTCTATGTATTTCTCTCATTAGTGTTCTATCTATTCTTTTTGTTAGTTGCACATCTAGAAATGATATGCCATTATTCTGTTGGATGAATGTTATTAAATATATTCAGCAAATTATTATTTTCATATTCTTTTTCTAATAACATTAAAGCATCATCTATATAGCGACGGTAAGATGTTAGATGTTAGACCTGGAAAGCATGCTATCAACTCTATATAAAGATTATTAACGTAAAAATCGATTGTATAACAGAACATGATTAATTTAGAAATGAGATGTAAACGATGCTTTGATGGTAATAAAATAATATTGTGTAGAATATAAGAGAGAATAATTAACTACGAAAGAGTTTGGGGATTATGGTTTTAGAAATACTGAAGTTACAAACATGATAGAGGAAGAGATGAAATACAGTTCGAACTTCTCAGTAAGTCTGACAACAATTTCAGTAATTTAAAGAAGAGTATAACATATTATCTTTGTTTTATGGAATGACTTGTGTTCACAAATTATTTTGTTAGTGAACTAATTTGTGAATTTATTACCTTAGCCATTCAAATCATTGTGTGTCCATGAAACCTCTTAAATACACGGTATAATGAATGACGATAGAAATAAATGAAATGGAATATGAACATTAAAGTGGTCAGACAAGCAAGCAAATACTGTATAGAAACATTATGGACCAATATTATAAAAAATATTGTTCAGCTTTGGGAATAAATTGAACGAATATAAAATCATTTAATATCAGTGTGGAGGTTTGCGATGATTGTGGTACTTTAATAGTTGAATTTGTGAGTCAATTTAAGCTGAACCACTATTAAAAACCTGGAAGCACAGAACGGCTGTTTCGTCCTATTATGGGACTCCCTAACAGTGCTCGCCTACAAATCCCCATTCTGATAATAATGTGCTCACTAGTGAATAACTTCAAGATGAAGTTCCTAAAGATCTAATGAGAAATCGTGACCAATGGAGTAGAACCCATGTCGAGTGTGAGACAGTTATTTAATTCAGTTCATGGATCTTGGTTTGCGCAAGATCATGAATCAGTTGAAGTTAGTCATTATCACTGTTGGACGCCGGCTCAGTGGTCTTGAGTTTAAACATTCACGTGCGAGACCGAAGGTCTCAGGTTCGATTATCACGTGCATCACATAGTGTACAGTTTTATTCATTAAAATATTAACTGAAAAATCTAGAGAAATATTAAACTGTCACTGTTATTTATGAAACTTAGAAATTAGTTTCATTTTTTGTATTTTGAAGTGATGAACTCCTATTACTGTTGAGAATTCACAAATGAATATTAACTATCTGTCCAGTGCTTTTTAGTTTATAATGGCGATAGTTGTGCCTAGTTCTTAATTAACATTTATTCATGACATGTTTATTACGTTAACGTTACATCAAATATCACTAGTGGTTATGAATACATTAATTATGATGCTGTGATGTTTCAGTAAATTTAAATGGATACTTACATGAACAGGATATTTTCATATCAATAGTTGAAATCGTGAGTCAATTAAATGTAGACCACTATGGAAAACCTGGGAGGAATGGACGGTCCTTTCGTCCTATTGTGGGACTCAGTAGTGCGCATCCACGACCCCACCTCGAGGGATTCGAAAGCAGGACCCATTAGTTTTGCGCGCGAGCGCTTAACCACTAGGCCACTGAACCGGCATGCAACAGCGTTAATGTCTAACTTCAACTAATCCAGTTAGCATACAGATAAGCTGGATCGAAATTCCATAATTCGGAATTGTGAAGAAACTAAATTGTTTACAGTGATTTTACAAAACTGTTATATTTATCATAGTTGACGATCGGTTTTTCAATCCAAATATCGGGTTGCTTTGGCACCAAATATTCATTAATGAGTGTATATCACTTCGATTTCATATCATAATGAGGTTGTTAACCGTTTTATAATCAATTTCATTCAACGATCATCTTCTTTATGTATGAATTTGTTAACAGTGTGAATAAATACAAATAATTAGGGAATATATACACATATATCTGTTTGATAATATATATCCCATATAGCAGAACCTGTTATCCGGTAGATTACTTGCTTACTTTCTAGTCCACGATAGCTTAATAAACTGTTTCATGACGGTACAATATGTTTAAAGTACTCTTAAAATAAAATTTTGTGAAATTTATTTATTAGGCGAGTTCTGTTTTTATTGTTGAGATTTTATCCTAAAACATAAAACTTGTTTTACAGAATCTGATTGGTTTGATAATGTACCTCAGTTTTACAAATCATTTCACAATAAAACATGATATCTTGAATTGTACGGATCTTACTTGTCACGTTACACGACAAATTAGATTGTTTATGTGGTTGTATTATATATATATATATATATATATATATATATATATATATATATATATATATATATATAGTGATGTGTAGATTATTAGTTATGTAAGATATAGGGTTCAGTTATCCATCGATTTTAATCGATAAACTAATTTTGACAAGTGAATTCATGAGTCGATCCAAGTTAAACCACGATTAAAAACGTGGAAGAACTGGACGGCCATTTTGTTCTAGTCTAGCTTAGATCAAATCATGAATTGTACTGTTAAAATTACTACGATCTCGACAAACGTTCATTCTGATAGTAAATTAATTAATAATTTTTTGTAAATTTAATACCGTTAGAACACAGTTTTTAAATTACTTATTTATATAACTGATATTCTCTCACTTTCTCGTATTCCTTATCAGATAATTTATGAAGACACTCTAAAAATGTTCAGATGCCTAAAACAAATTACATGTCAGCTGATTACCAAAATTTTCCATCAAATCATCAAAAAACGGAATTCATTAGCTCAACATGTGAATGAAATTCCATTTGTTGATACTTTCAAAAAAAAAGTTAAATCAACTAAGAGATCACCATTATCAAGACTAACACAAGTCACCTAACTCCCCCCCCACTGTCCTTTTCAAACTGAAACAAACTATATACAGAATTAAGCAAACAAGCTGATATCTTTATATAACCATTACATTTCTCAAAATAACTCTTACTTTAACTTTTCAATTATTCATTTGATATCTTAACATAAGAACACATTCAAACACTTTACAAAATATTTCTAGGCATTCATAAATGAAACACAACACTAAGTCAATAATTAGGTACATTAAATTTTTGTTTTCAATACATCAATTAATTTCATTGAATTAAAAATATTACCATTTATAATTGATTACATAATACTTACCTATTCATATATATTCCAATTTGTTGATAAACAAAACATAAATGAGTTGTTGTTTATTTCGTTTTTTTTTTTATTTTTCTTTAGAAATTTCACAATGAATATTAGAAAATCAATAATAATATTTGCCAGGAAACTAAATTAAGAAATATAGGGAACTAATTGTTTAATAGATTCAAGATGATGTAGATATGTTTATATGTAGATATATATGTATATATATATATTCCTCATAATGATTGTTGATTCACATTAGTATTATTCTAGTTTTCATTGAATTCATCAATAATACTTTTCTTTTTTCTTTTCTTTTTGTTTTTCCTTTATTATTTTTTCTTCAAATAATTCAATTCACATTTTAAATAGATGAAATGAACAAAGTGCATTCAATCAATGTTGATATAAAAATCATAATTATTATATAAATTATTTAATAAGTTATTAAATTAATAATGGGTGCAATAATTCAATATTTTACTTTTATTTTTTTCTGATTGGTTAATTTATAAACCAATCATCTTTTAATAATTAAATTTAATAAATATATAATAAATGAATAAATCAATGAATTATGATTAGAAAATTAAAAGTAATGATTGGTTATTGAGAAGAAGAAAAAGTGAATTTAAACAAAATATATTTGAATATGATTAAGAAAACATGATGGTTACTTTGTTTGAGTAATTAACATTTGTTTTTATATTCCATAAATGTATAAAAGTATTCAATGAAGTTGTTTATATTTATAAATGAGATTTCAAAATAGGATAGTGTCTTAGTGATACAAAGTAGTAATTTTATTGTATCTAAATATATCTAAAGAGTTCTACAGGTTCTAAAAGGTTTTACATAATCTCACTATTTGCTTGAACATATGACTTATCGTCAGTTTGGAAGTGAAGAATAATTGTGAATAGTCTTAGTAAATGTTGGAACTTTATTTGTGATAAAGATATGCATCGTGAGTATTGATCAATCATGTCAGCTGTTTTTCCCAATGGTTATATATATATATATATATATATATATATATATATATATATATCGTATGAATCTTGAAACTACTACGACATTTACTTTATTCATCAGGGTTGTATGTTAAGTACTGGAATTAATCAGTCTTTATCGGAATATAGACATCCATAGGAAATAATCTCGATATTGAGATGGTAGTAAACAATAGAAGGTTCAAGGTGAATAAGAACCAATCAACATCGAAGTTTACAGGACAAGCTGTGAACTACATGTAGAGAAATTCGAACACTTCACTTCAACTTAAAGTTTATGCTGATGATGTCGTTCCGAAAGACGTTAAAAGCTCCACGATCATATCATCCAGCTTAGAGAACAAAACTCCATCAAAAAGGTAATCTCGATTTTTCATAAGTATTTTTAGATAAGGTCCTCGATTGTATAATAGTGGGATTCAAAATAAAGTTTTTCATTCCGTGAGAGACTCACCAAAAGGATGTTCATGCATACCATTGCTAATGCTCACTAGGATATTTGAACCCACTGCCCTTCTGTTCAAACTCCCTACACCCTATCCAGTCAACCGCTTGTACAACAGGAATCCATAATGGTTTTAATTCTCCCGTTACTAGTCACTTCTAAACACTGTTTACAGGAAAACGTCATTAAGTTGTAAGACTTTTTATTATGAGTTTGAGAGAAAATTATTTTCTTTTTATTCACTAACATAATTCAGAATCTAATGAATAAAAAAAGTCCACCATGAAATAACAATTTAGAGTAACCATGAGTGTTTTTCAAGTTTAATAGTAAAGAAATCTATGAATGCATTATTTTAATTTTGAAAAATATCTTCTACTATGCTATCAACTTTATAGCGATTTGAAACTGTTTTCGTTCCATTTATCTATATATTCACCAAAAATACTCTAAACAATAATTATCTATGAAAAGAGTAGTTGATCTTCATATTGGGTATACACACAACTTAGTTTATACATTGTCTTTTCATTCATCAACACAATTGTTCTTAAGTTAACATAAATCTTCTGTTCATTAATGGGATACATATATTTCATTGATAAAAATTCAAACCAATTAAAAACTATACAATGTTTCCTATTGTCACATTATAAAAAGATACTAATGATACTTTTAGCAAGAAATGAAATAAATAATCACTGAATTATCATATAGTGATAACTCGTCTATTAATGGAACAATATTTTATCACTCACATCTTATTAACAGTTGTTGTTTATGACTGCATTTGCTGAAATAAAGTAATGATAACAATAGAACGTCTAATACGAAGTGAACCATCTTTACACATCCTTGATATAAACCAGGTGATGAAAATGCAACATGCTAAAATTGATCAAGAAAATGTATAACATCTAGTAAATAAGAGGATTATTCAATCACTTATATCTGAAAATATTGTCACGAATAAAGAAAATACATGAATCACTTTATCAAAATAAGAGAAAACTGAGTTTTTAAATTAAACATAAACAGTAACAAATAAAATATTTCCATATAGAAATGAAGAGTCTAATCAACAATCATGGTCTTTATGTCTAAAAACATGTTTTTTAATGCTTTTAATACTTTCTTGGTCTTAAAAATCTTATTAGCCAATCTTATATTACTTTCCACCCGTTGTTTCTTTCTATTTACCTCTTTTGTATATATATATATATATATATATATATATATATATATATATATATATATATATTTGTCGTTACGCAAGTGTTTAATGACTATTATTTTAGGAAGCTTATTTTTTTTGTTTTTTTTTCAAATATTATTTCTTTTGTCAAAATACTGATTCGATATTATCACGCTATTCTTGGTTCTTATAATTACTACCCTATTTGTTATTGTATTATTATATTGTTTTTACCTAATTATTTCTATTCGTTATATAAACTGTAAAGTTCTTTTCATTGACAGATAATTTGCTTTCGTCGGTTTAATACATTTAATGTATATAAATGAATATTACTGAATATTAAAGTATAGACTGATGAAAATGTAAATGGATAAACTTTTGTTGGGTTATATATTTTGTTCTAAATTAAGTTATAGAAATGATGAATAGTTCAAACTATAGGTTTTTATTTAAAGAACTAAAAATTAGTTGAATGTAATATTTATCGAATTAGGAAGTTAAATGGAGGTACATCATAAATCCAAGAGAACCTGATTATTGATTTCATAACATTTGATACGATTCACTAATGTTAATCAATAGAACCATAGAGAAACCAACTGTAAACTTTCGAGTTTTTAAGATGAATACTATACATTACAGTTTAAATATTACCTGATCACAACTACAATTTATATTTTATGCTTCACAAGCCTGTGTCAATCGAGATAACATTTTTATATATCTGAATTATATTATTAATTAATCTAAGTGTTATATTGTTTTTTAATATATATAGAAAGTTGTAAATCTACAGAGTTCAATTAATCAGAAGTTCTACAGAAATTCGAATTGAACTCTGATCATCTAACTGAACGGTAACTCGATCGCCTTACAAATAAAAAATTTCCTAATCTACTCTCTTTTATTATACAATGATTTTCAACTCTCTGTGTAGTATCTGATATCTTTTAATTTCTATTGTTTTTAGATCTTAACGAATAATGTTTCATGTTCGATTTTGTCATATATATATATATATATATATATATATATATATATATATATGCATTATGGTGCGGAAACCTGGAGAACTACGAAAGACATCATCCAGAAGATACAGTTGTTTATTAACACTTGTCTATGCAAAATATTATCAGTAACAACCTACTGTGGGAGAGGACATATCGAATCCCAGCGGATGAAGAAATCAGTAACAAACGCTGGAAGTGGATAGGACACATATTTAGGAAAGCATCCAACTGTGTCACAAGGCAACCCCTCATTTGGAATTCTCAAGGCCAAAGGAGAAGCACACATTACTTCGAAAAATGGAGACAGGCATGAGAAAAATCAACAAAAATTGGACAGAACTAGAAAGCAATGTCCAAAACAGAGTGGGTTGTAGAATGCTGGTCAGCGGCCTATGCTCCATTGGAATTAACAAGCGTACGTAAGTATGTAATATATATATGCATATTTCTTGTCTCTAAATATTAACACCCCCCTCAAATAACAAACACAATAGATAAATATCAATGGTTAAATTACATTCATTAGCATAATGGAAATATGTAACTGTATTTCACCTAATCATAAAACATTTGTTATGAGAAAAAGATTTTTTTCTAATTTCACACTATAATAATCCCATACGATTAAAGACTACTACTAATAATAAGTTACTAAATATAGTAAAACACAAATACACTTTTTCTTACAGAAAATATTTCACATTTTCATGTATGAAATAAAAAACAAACAAACAAACAAACAGACAAAAAAACAAACATTTTTGTTTCTAATCAAGAAAATTTTTACCAGGTGTAAAATAGTGGATTAATGAATAATGTTTTTCTATTTTAATTTTTCTTCTATAACACATACACACACATATACATATACAAATAAAAAGAAAAAAGAAAATCAAAGAACAATTCGATATTAATATGAAAAATGTACAATTAAATGATAAATTCTTTCTTTCTTTTTTTTTCTCCTTCTTCTTGTTGTTTTTTTTTCTCGTCGATTTCTTAAAATAAAATAAAAATATGATAAAGTTTAATTACATACAAAAAAGAAGGAAAGAAAAAAATATAAATGACTAAGATACATAACTAAAATGAGCCGACTTAAGTTTTCCTTTTATTTTAAAGATACATTTAAATCAATTATAACAGATGTTTGTTTCGACGCCAAACAATAACAACAAACAAACAAACAAACAAAACAACAACAACAACAAGAAAAAATAAAATAAAAATAAATATTCATTCATTTAATGGTTATAGATAAAATAAATAAATACAAAAAAATTATCAGACAAATAATTTTTCTTGATTATGAAACATGTAAATGATTGGTTTGCACGAATTGGTAAATAGAATATTGATTTTTTTTTATTACATTTTATGTTAAATCAATAATATAGATATATATATTTATGTTTCATTTACTTGGTATTGTTTTACTTGAATCTACCCATTGATGCTTAGTACTGCAATGGATTAGTCTCTTATTGGTATATGTGCATGATGTATGTATTGCCTCGATATTGCCTTAATTCATAAGCTTTATAAGCAAAGATGAATAGTGGTTAGCAGTGGAATCCAGGATGCGCGTTTCGTTCTATTTGGGACTTGTCAACCAGATGTACCTACAACTCAGAGTTGATGTTCACTCTGCGACTCGAACCCAGTACCGTTCGCTTCAAATGCCGTTGCGTTATCCACTTAGCTACTGAGTCCTGGTTTTTCATCATGGCTCTGCACAAATATATATATATATATATATATATATATATATATATATATATATATGATTTACAATAATGAAATAATACAAACGAGTGGATACGTTACG